GAGATTCTACAATCGAATAAGGAAGCCAAGACATATATCGAGCTCATGTTAGATACAATTTAGAATTGTTTTCACGAAAATATATAGAAAGGAAGATGTGAGCTTCTTTGCAAATTGGAAATCAGCAAAGGTATCTTAACCAGAGACAAAAAGCAAAGGTGCAAGCTACTGACAGAGAAAGGAACAAGACCAGAATACGACAAACTAAGATCTAAAAGAGGGGATACAAGGAGAAATAGTTCTTTAGAGGAAATAGATAGAAAACGGAAAAAGAAAGAAAAAGAGGAGAGTTTAAAAAATATAGAAAATCATTGGTATAATAGTTTTAGAGATTTAATTCAAAATAGTTGCAAGCTCTTTTGGTATGGCTTGTATGGCTAATCTGATATTAGCTTTCTGGTCTCGAAAGAATTTTCGGACCAGTGCGGCAGACCGCTTCTGGGCACCCATGAGGTAGCTGGGGGATGTCGGGCCTAGATATTAAGCTCAACATTATATAATTTACTTATATAATAATCTTAATAAAGGATCACTGGCAAGATTGCCAAAGTTTAAAAAAAAAAAAAAAAAAAATAGCATGCTTCTTAGTTCAGCAAGTAAATAATACTGCATGCAAATTAAGATTTTAGTCTTTACTAGTTTTCACTTTTGCTAGTGTTTCACACAAAGTTCTATTTAGTTTTTCTATCATACTATTAGTTTAAAAATAATATAGTAATGAAAACTTATATTGTATAAGAAGGTTTTTATATAAAAGTTTTATTACTTCTTTTCTAAAATTCAATTCTTAATCAAAAAGAATAATTTTAGATATTTTATAATGATATATTATTTCTTTGAAAATAAACTTTGTGAGAGTTAAGGCTCCTGCATCTGGTATAGCTTAAGCTTCTGGCTAGCATGTTAAATAATCTGTTGTAATAATAATATACTGATTGTTGCAAGATGTTATAGATAGAAATCCTACTAAATCAATTTCAATTCTTTTGAAAGCTTGTTCTATTTTAATAGAGTGCAATGGTTCTTTTTTTCTAAATATGTCTTTTTTCTAATATTGTTTACAAGTCTTTATATATTTCTTAATGTCTCAATATATTTGGTCTCAATAATATTTTTCTGCAATTTTATAATATATAGCATTTAGATTTAGATCACAAATAACTCCTATAACTCTTGAGTTAGCAAGAGCTCTGTCTGAGTTTCTAGTCTTAGTATCTTATAGATATAAAGTTTAAATAATGTAATTTCTTTATTTAATTATTTGTAAAGAAGTTTAATTAGATTTTAATAAAGATAGAGGCATAGCCTCACCTTTAAAGATTAAAAAAAAATATATATATATATATAGCATCTATTTCCAAATATCTAGCAGTAGAATAATTATGCATCATATATAAGATAGAGTCTACTTTAGTCTATTTAATAATTCTAAATGGTTTAGTAGAGTTTTATTTGTTTTTCTAATACAAAAGTCTTTCTTTAATCATAAAGTATTTAGCCTGATTTTAGAATTGTTTCTGTTAATAAGTAGTAAAGTTAGATGGTATATTATTAGAGTTTAAATAATTAAATAGATTTTGGTATTGATTTAGATTCATTATTCTGATTAATCAGAGTCTTGAAAAGGTATCTACATTAGAGTAAATTCTATTTAGTTTGTATATAATAGTTAAGCTGTAAGGTTGTAGTTTCAAAATCTAGCATCTAATTCTTCTTTTAGTTCAATAGTTTTAAATTAATTAATGCAAAATAGTTAGTTACAAAAGTAAATTCAGTAGCTCAAAGTAGCTATAAAAATGTTTTATTGCAAAGTAATTTTGTTCTGCTAATACTAAACTTTTGCTATTATAAGCAATATATAGGTTAATTTGGTTTGACCCTAAAATTAGCCAATTATGATTGAGAATTATTTGTTGTTAAAATTTATTACAAAGTAAGTTTTTATACAAATAGTCTATTAAACTTACTTTGAATCTATAATTAAATATATAGAATATTGCAATATCTATATATATAATTATTAGCTAAAAATAAATTAAAAAGTTATTTGCTTTCGAATTCATATATACCCATTCTACAACTGATCATTCTCAATAACAAACCAATCATTCACTACCTGAAAATATCTAAATGCTTCAACAACTAGTAATAGTACTTTTTTTTATAACTTAGTGTAGCTGTATTTTAATATTTATTGCTTATTTATCTCATATAAAGAATAACAAAACTTTTTTATTGAAATTTTGTTTGTCATTCTTCATATTATTTAGTGACAAAAGTTCGTATAACCATTTATCAAAAAAAGACTCCTAAAAATCAAATTGGCAGATATGATAGGATGTTCTTTTTCAGCTTTATTTTTTTGACTTAAAGTAGCTTCAAAACTATGATAAGAAGCATCAGTAGCAAGAATAAATCTCTGCTAAAATCAGGATAAGCTAATATAAGTGCAGTAATTAGCTTTTCTTTGAGGATATCAAATGCTTATTGCTATTTGCTTCTCTAGTAATAGAATTAATTTTTATGAAGAAGTTGATTTAGAGGTTAAGTTATAGCTAAGAAATTTCAAATAAATTGTTAATAATATTTAACTAAACCAAGAAAAGATAGTAGCATTCTTTGAAGGTTGAATCTTCTGCATAGTTTCAATTTTAAAGAATCAGGTGCTATTCTTTTAAAGCTAATAATATAGATAAAAAAAAGATAATAACTTTATCCAAAAGTTATATTTTAAATTTGAGTTTTAATTTAGCATTTCTTATTTGTTAAAACACAATTTTTAGGTGTTTTAAATGATTCTCAAATGTTTGGAAGTATATATTGATATCATCAAGATATACATTTACAAATTTTTAGACAATTTCTTTATATATTTGGTCTATAAGTTATTAGAAAGTAGCAGGAACATTGTATAGTTTAAACAGCATTATATGTTCTGTATTTTGTAATAAAAACAATCTTTTCTTTATCTTTAGAGTTTATTATAACTTGTCAGTATCCACTAGCTAAATCAAAAGTTGAAAACTATTGAGATCTTAAAAAAGCATTCAATATTTCTTGAATTCAGAATAAAGAATAGACATTTTTCCTAGTAATACTGTTAAGTTTTCTGTAGTCAATATAAAATCTTAATTTTTTATTTTTCTTTTATATCAGAATAACAGGTAATGCCCAAAAGCTTTCTAAGGCTTGAATGATATTGTTATCTATTATTTATTCAATTTCTTGCTTAATAAATTTTTGTTTATCAAGAGATATTTTATAAGATTATAACTTAATAAGTAGTATATTTTTTAGGATTTAAAAATTCCATGCACCCTGTGATTGACCAATCAAAATCGATCACATGAGATATGATCTGTCGCCCAAAAAATCAATTATAAATTTTTTTATTAAGTTTTTTATTTAAAAAAAAAAAAAAATTGAAACCATATTACAGAGAAACTAATACAAATGCAAAACTAATGAATCTACATGAAAGCCTCAAAGAATACAAAACTAATTAATCTATATAAAAGCCCAAAAAAACAGACATCAACAAACAGCGCAAGCCAAAATGAAAGCACAACAATATAATGAAACTGATGGTTTGACTCTAACGACGAAATCAGCTCAAACAAAGGAAGAGAAACATAGAAAACAAGCAACTCCATCAATGAAATCATGTTTAGAAGAAGAATGTGTAATTATAAAAAAAAAGAAACAACTTAAATGATCTAATGATGACTAAAGACAAAATCACGTCTGGAAGAAGAACATTAATAATTACAAAAAAATTCAAACAACTCAACAATGAACTTATCTGACTCTACTCCAAAAACAATAACTCTAATAACAAAATCATGCTCGGAAGAAGAATATTAAAAATTACAAAAAAAAAAAAGCAACTCAAACAACTCAAATAATGAACTTACACAACTCTAACAATGAATCTAATAACTCTAAGAGTGACAACTCCAACAACGAAATCATGCTAGAAGAAAAAAATAAAAATAAAAGAAAAAAAAGGTAGTTAAGTTAAGACAAAATAAAAGAAAAAAAACAAAAATAACTACTCACCAAACAAGCCATTCTGAGAATATGTAGACTATACTACAAGAATGTTGAGGAAATGCACAAAGCTATCCTACAAAGACGCACACAAGACTATCTCACGAAGACGTATACAAGAAACAAGATCACTCCACAAGAAAGCCGAAGAAACAAGATCATCTCACAAGAAAGTCAAAGAAACAAGAAATAAAAGAAAAAAATATTAGTTAAATCAAGGCAAAAGAAAAAAAAAAAAAAAAACTACTCACCAAACAAGCCACTCTGAGAAAATGTAGACTATACTATAAGAATGTCAGGAAATGCACAAGACACTACAAGAACATATGCAAGGCCACCCTATGAAGATATATACAAGAAACAAGACCACTCCACAAGAATGCCAAAGAAACAAGAAATAAAAAAAAAATGTTAGTTAAGTCAAAACAAAAGAAAAAAACAAACAAGCCACTCTGAGAAAACATAAACCACACTATAAGAATGCCGGTGAATGAACAAGACTACCTTACGAGGATGCACACAAGACCACCCCATGAAGACACATACAAAAAATGCTTCACAAAAATATCAAAAAGTATAAAGATGCCGAACAGAAGAAAATTTAATAGCAATACCAATGACAAGACACTAACGACAACACCAACTACGATGAAGACCAAGAAATCTAATGCCAACACCAGTGATGAAACACCAATGACAACACCAACTATGATGAAGACCAAGAAAGCAAAAGCGAAAAAAGAAAACAAAAAAAACAATAATTATCTTTGATAATCATTATTTATATATGATACATAGAGGTGCATGACCATGCAGGTGCGTAGAAAACATTTTCCCTATTTTCTATATAGATTTTATGTTTAACTTTATCTATTCTATCAAGTTCAATAATATTTTTGGCAAATAGATTAGCAAATTCTTCTAGTAAAGCTTTAAATTACATTTCCTGATCACGTATTAGGGTCCTCATTTATAGTATCTGTCTTTTCTAAAATATATTTCTTATAAGGAATTAAAGTGTCTATAGTATATACAAAGTTATATTTAATAGCATTAGTTTGCAAAGCTTGTTGTAAAGCTTTTGTTTCTATTAGCAATTCTTTTAAGTCTTTAGATAGTTTTTTATCTTGTCTAAGATAGTTCAAAAAGTTTACTGTATGAAGACTATATAAGTATAATAGTTAGCTTGTTCCTGGTAGTATTAAACCTATTGTTAAAAAAATTACATTATCTTTTTAAAATCTTTCTCTAAATACTAAACTCTGGCTTCTAGTCAGATAATAATCTGATCTTTCTCTTCATCCTTCCTCTCTTTAAAAATAATATTTTCACTTATTTCAGACTGTTTCAAGGTGATAATATTATTATAGTATATTTCTTCTACATTCTGCTCTTTTAAAGAAATCAGTTTGTTCTTTTATTGATAGCATTCTTTACAAAGATCTTGGTTGGCTTCTAATTCAGTATATTGTTTAGCAAAAGGTATTCTTAACAAAGAGCTACTTTTCTTTCAAAATTCTTTTTTAAATTCTTAATTGCTTTGCAAGCATCAAAGTTAAGTTGAGAAATATTAAAGGATTTATTTAAGATTTGTTATAGAGTAGCTTTTTCTTTTTTTGTGAAAAATATTTGTTCTGCTCAAAACAGAATAATAATTTCTTTAGAAGTTTATTTTCAATTATATTTATTATCTTCTTGCTCTTTTATAGCTTCTTTTATAGTTCTATAATCTTCAGCAAGTAAAATTTGAACTAGATAATAAATTTGATCTTGGTTTAAATCATACTGATGTTTAGTATTTCTGGTAAACTTAGTATAATATCTAATTTTATTCTAAATTTTATAGTTCAAATTATATTAGAGGTCTATAAAGATTTTATAAACATACATGTGTTTCAATTTACAGAACTATAATTCTTCTTGTATACTTTCTATATTATACATTCTTGATCTGGGTTTTTAAATATTACAAAGTCTGCATTGAACAAGAGTTTTTTTACCAAGTTCTGTTTAGTAATATTCTTGGCTTCTGAGGTCTTCTAGATTAAGTATCTTATAAAAAATTTTGTAACAAGCAGTACAAGCAAGTTTCTCTTCTAATTTATAGAGTCTGTCTGGTTGTTAAAAAGTATAGCAATAATAGCAATAGTGAGTTCTTCTTTTATTATAGTAGACTATTCTTTGTTCTTCTATTTGATCTTTATTATATTTATATTTGTAAGTTAAATTATCAAGTTTAAGTTGAGCAAAAGGGCAGTTAATTTCTTTTTTTTTTATAATTCAGCTGTCTTGCCACTTTTATTTAAGATTAACTATACTAAGAAATTTAAATTTTCTAATAATAGCTATACTATCTACCTGTAAAGCAGCTTACCCACACTTTTGCCAGATATGACCAGCCTCAGTAGACTTTAAACCTCTTTCTGGGCTCTTAACTTACTAGGAGTTATTCTTTAGTCATGGGCTGGTGCTATATACCATATCAGAATTAACTTTCTTCTTATAAAACAAAGCACAAACACAAATATAAAAGGCAAAAAAAAATAATAAAATACCTCAATGTCAAATTCTGATCTATCTAAACAAATAAAACCAAACAAAACAAATAATGAAAAAAGAAAACAAAAGAAAACAAAACAAAGATAGCATTATTAAACCTGTGCTGAATTGTAAAAATTATATAATATTACAAATAAACTAGACTAAACTCTATACTAATTATTTATATCTATATCCATAATATAAAAATATTAAAAACTATCTGGTTTTGAAGTAGAGCTCCAAGGTTAAAACTTTTGGTTGCTATTCTAACTAAATCAGCGAGTCTTCTGCAGTGTTTCAATTATTATCACGTTATCTGATACTATTCATCCTAAAGTAGATATATATATATATATGTCTTTTCTTTTTTGGCAGCTGTTACTATATTGATTTTTTGTTAGAAATATGCTATTTTTTTATTTTTTGTGAAAATTTCATAAAGTACAAAGAGTGGAGTTTAGTAAAGAATTTCAGTTTGCAGATATCCATTAACTTTAGTAAAAAGTATATTAAAAACTTGCTTGTTATTCTTCTTTAGACCAACTATTATCTAACTTTGTCAATAAAAGCAGTGCTTTTATTAAAATTTTTGGTATAAGAGCACCACATTTTTGCTAGTTATCTTGTACAAGAACACTTTTAACTTGCATGTCAAATATATAAAGGAGTCTAGAGTAAATTGCAAAGAGTCTTGATCTCTATAAAAACTGTTATTGTATAGTTGTCTCTTCTATTTTTTTTCAACAAGTTTCTGTTTTTATTAGCTATAAGTTTAATATGAGTAATCATTAAAAAGACTTGAGTATATAAAAATAAAAGGGCAGTTAATTTCAATATGACTAAATTTATTACAACTATAGCATTGATTGTCTAGATAATTTTTAAAAAGATGTGTGATTTGCCTACAAGTTCAACAATTGTTTGATCTTTCACATCTATTAGAATAGTTATTAAGTATATACCCAAATTGGTTATAATCATAATATTAGTTTTTAAGGCAGTCCTTATATTAATAAGTAGCTTGGCTACAAGTTTTGCATAGAGATTTCTTTGTCAAGATTGGTAGGTGGTCCATTCTTGGTCTTTATCTTCTGAGAATACAAAAAATGTATAGGCTTCATAAAGCATTAAGTATTTCTGTTTATATAGCTCAAAGTTTTCTGACTTGGTACAGGTTGGTTGTTTTTTCTTTGGCTGTTCTTGTTCATAGGAAGTATTAAAAACAATCTTCTTTTCTTTTAATAAAAAATATATTAGCAAGATTTCTAGTTATAATTAGCTTCTACTTTTTTAGACCAATTATTTCTAAGTAGAATAGAATATAAAGTAGTAAGCACTACTTCAACATCTAATAAAATAAGTCAATCTTTGAATTCTAATAGCAAAATTTTTAATAATTTCTAAAGGTCTGAAGATAGTATCAGTAGCAGCAACAATATGATTCTAGGTTGGCTCTTTAATTTTAAGTTCTAATTTTTTTATAGTTTGGTATAAGATCATATTAACAAAGGTTCTACTATCAATAATAGCAGGATAGATATGATCTTTGATGTCAATATAATATTTAACAAGGATAATAGTACTAATAGGCTGAAGTTCTCAGTTGGTTTCAGTAATATAGGTAGTAAAAAAAGTTCTAATAAAATAGTTATCTAATAATTTTTCTCAATTGTTAGAATTAAAAGCAGTATTATAGAACAGTTTTATTTTATTAGTTTATTATTTTATCTTAGTATTATTTTATTATTTCGATATTTATATTTTATT